TTCTAATGATCTATTTTTCTTTTTTTTTTTTTTTTTTGAAGAAACTGAAAAAAATATGAATTCAAATATAAGTAAACAGATCTAATAAAATGGAAAGATTTTGAAATTAAGCAAAAGTACATTTTGGTGAAATACCAATCAAAATTCACAATTAGTAATTTGCATTTTTCAGCAACGTGCTTCACTGTAGCAGCTGCCTGTTGCGCTTCTCTTTATTGGGCTGAAAGCGCCAATAGTATCCTCGGGTTATGCTCAGTTTTCGTAGCTATGTCGAGTATAGCCGGTGCCTGTGTTGTAAACGTCATTGTCGACAATTTTCCAACATGCTTAAGGTATAGAAAATTTGAATTCATCTCAAATGTATCGTACTTACACTATCATTCATAATTTAATACTTTTCTTCAGGACTATGGCAGTTAGCTTGACTATGATGGTTGGCAGAATTGGTGCTGTCCTAGGGAATTTACTGTTCCCAGTTTTGTTCAATTTATCTTGCCTGGGTCCCTTTGTTATGATTGGCTCTGCTTCGTTAGGTAAAATTTTAAGAAATGTTTCGTACAAATCACAAAATAATGTTATGACGTAATTCATATGTCATATAAAAAACTAATATATATATAAATGGTATAATCATAATAGGTTAATCGTGTTTCAATTTTCTGTAGTAATTTCTGCAATGTTAAGCACACTATGTTAAACATTCTTTTTAAAAAGAATGATGTTTATGAATAGCTATTTTATGCGTTGAACAGTTAATAATACAATACTTTAGTATGTGCAATTTAACGTCTTTTGTTTCTTATAAATAATATTTATATTTTTAGTATCGGCGTTATTGGTGATCCTTCTTCCACGGAAACATTCGAAAAAGGATAAAGCAAAGGAAGTTGCTTGACGGCAGTATGCATGAATAGGATGTAATGCATATATGGAATAAGATGCAATCAGCTATATAGTAATAGCTGAAAGGATCGCTTGTAAATACATATTTTGTCTATGGTCTTTCGTCGATTGTATAATTTCGGTGCATGATTTTCCATCATGTAAATATGTAAATACAATACAATTTCACTCATATAGTATAAGATCTCCCCACCATTTTATAAGTACGCGTGAGATTTAAATTGAGTGTATGTTCCAAGTGAGATTTTTAATTAATCTCATGAATGTATGGCGTGAAATAATTTTAGAATAGTCCCTTCGTCATTTTTAATAATCTCGTCAGTCCGTGAATTTTTAGGCAATATATTAGTTAATTAATTAATATCGCAATATCGAAAAGCGATGCCATAAGGTAACACAACATTGTTATATAATAAACCTGTTTTATTATTGTAGTAAATACATTTTCCTAAATTTGGGTTTTTATTTCTCAAACGAGCGAAGTGATAAATATTAATTTTTAAACATTTTGCTTAAATACAATGTAAATGATTAAAATTTTGTTTTGGTTACCGATAATCATTACCAACGAAATTGTACTTATCAATTTTCAAATACAAGCTTCCACACTTTAATAATGTAGCATGCAGATAAAAGAACAGCAAACTTTAAAGATTACTTGGTCGCCTTGCTCTCCTATACATGTACATATTAATTTGAGGAAATAAAGTTAGTATTTCAACTTTGACTTATCTTGGACGATTTTTTTAACGAATAACTTCAAAAATAAAATAGATATGTCCCCTGCAAAATTTATATTTTTGAATAGTGGAATGATATTTTAAATATCATCACAGATGTACAGGATAGATCTAACATCTTATGGGACTTCGTGTTCACGGCACGGGAGCCGAGAAGACCCTTACCATTTTCATGTTGCTTCCAACGTTATCGATTTATCATAGGACAAAATTACATTATTTAGTTGTGGTTGGAATTACAATTTAACGTAAGTACAAAATTACAAATAAGAAAGTAACGTAATTGTTTATTCGTAGATGATTCATAAATGCGCGCGTTCTATTGCTGTTAAAAGATCGTGAACAGTTCTACCCACACAATCCAATATAGTATTTTGTCGTGCTTACTATAAAAAATAACTCGTTCATGTATTTAGCAATACAGAAATAAATAAGAAAAGGAAAGAAATACGGTTCGATAAGCATAGCATTAAAGAAATGAATTAGATACGGAAAGAAATAGGTGTAGATAAGGATAGCGAAAGTACCGTGTGTTAGACAAGGAAAGCAATAGGGATAGACAAGGACAGAAAAATTGGCGGGCGAGAGTAACGCCATCTCGCGTCTGGTGACGTGAACTACGATTTTTTAATAGGAAAACATGATATAAACAGAGGTATTAGACAAGGAAAGCACTAGTGTGCGAGAAGGATAGAGAGAGAACGCTTCCTATTGGCTGAGGGCACCCAAGCTCGACCAACCACGGGCTAAACCAAGTCGGTCCGTGAAAAATCATTAATAACTCATTAATTACGATGATTCTGTGAACTTTTA